AGACCGTACTTCACTGATACGCCCATCATCTGCAGCGATCATCGAACAACAGACAGGCACTTGTAAGTTCGACGATTTCGCGCAGTGGCCGCTACCGTCTCTACGCAATCGTTTCTTCGAAAATCATTTTACCTGCAAATGTGGTAAGCGATGGGACGTAGGACGGGGCCAGTATTCGAGAGCATATAAGGCAGTGCTCCACCAATGATGCTCTTGATGTTGATGCTGAGCTTGTTACCATTGGTTGGAAAATGCTCTCCTCTTTCCAGTTCACTCCTCGTCGCACGCCCACTCGTTTGCAGGGAGCATGGCCGCAATTATAGGCGCAATGAAAAAGTGAAAGGGACAAAGTGGCAATAATAACTTTTCGAACGGTGGTCCATAGTGAAGGAAAAAAACGGCCCAGAGGAGTGCATGTTCTGAGGCACGATTTCCTTGTCACCGTAGCACCGTATGACTTGTCAGCGGACCAAACCAATACATAGTTTTTCAGCTACCCAGCTCCGTTACCATGCCAGTCATTCCGGCGGATCATCATGGCGAACATTTACAAAACCTTTCAGAAGCTGAATGGGAAGGTGGAGAGCAAGCGTTACCATCGGATTTCCTGAATCTGTTGAGAGATGATGTTTGTTTAGAATCTAATGATGTTTTTTGGATTTTGTTCAGCAGATGCTACAGTGAAACCCTAGCGTTTAGGACCGTATTCAAGTGTTTGCTGCTCCAGAAAAGGCCGCTGATTATCAAATGAAACTTGAGGAGCGACGACGACAAAGACGTCTTGCAAAGCTTAGTAGGAAAATGGAAGCAGCCATGGCAAAAGGACCTAGTGAGTTCTCATTTTTCTGAAGAATGATTCGAGGTGGTAGGTGAAGATGGAAGTTTCGCTCGAAACGAAAAGCGCTCTAAGGGACGGTCGCGCTGATCACGTGGGCGGAGTCAGGCCTAGCAGTGTGCCTTCCTCCCGATAGCGTTAGTGATGGGGACTTGCACTGCACCTAAAGTCAGTGACTTCTCAAAGCACGTTTTTGGAGACAGTGGACACGGTGGTTGGTGGCGTGCAGTCGCTGACAACGTCATTGGTTAGGCCAGAATGAGTAGGCGTGACCAAACACCCTCTGGCAGCCCTCCCACCAATGACGTTGGCAGCAAGTCCGCTCCAATCCGTCCTGCTCACTGCCTTCGAGGTAAGATGTGATGTCATCTACTTCTTGGGGCAACACGCTGGGCTGTATATCCGTGTTACATCAGGCCCCTCTTTTCTGGTACAGCAAAATGAAGGGCGCGCAGTTGAACAAAGCATGAAGGTGGGCCTGACTCCGCCCATGTGACCACCGTGCACTTCTTGCGCGTGACCGCCTTGACGCTCATCGCAACGATTCTGATCTTCACGGGAATGCAATCCTATGTTTCACACAGGACCAATAGAGTCATTCGGAGAATTAGTGGATGAAATCACAAAAATGCTGAATGAAGACAAACAACAAAATTGCGGCGTAAAGGTGAATGTCATATTAATTTTCTAGGGAACTGAACGGTACAACTTAGATTCGCAGGTAGAGACAGATTCGGCGCTCATCTTCATCTCGCAGTTTGTGAGTTCACGAGTAAACCTCGTGAACTCACAAACTGCGAGATGAGATGTGTGTTAAGATTTTTACGCGCAGTAGGATTCAGCTAGTGAATTCCCTTGCAGCGGAGACGCTTGAGCACAACTACACCAGCCTAGCAGATTGCTAAATTCTGGGGTACGGGGGCACACATGTAAAGTGCTCGTCAGCAATTATGACAATTGTCTAGCAACCCCTTAAAGCCTTGCCTGTCATCTGTACTGGGCCATTGTGAAATCTCTGTCAGGCTTTCAGACTATGGTAATGTACCCGTACAAACGAGTCATAAACCTTTCAGTGACGTGCCATTTCGCCAAGGATTTACAGGGTACATGACAGGGTTTTGCAGGACTTGCAGAGTGAGAGTCGATCAGCCGGTGTTCACATGAATACGGTTAACGTGACTTAACTAACCATAAGCTTGTATAACCATAAGCTGGAATGACGTGCCCCTCCCAAGGCCACTAGCGCCGGCAACAGTTTTTCTCTCAACACATTCCTTTACAGGCAGTTGGCACGATAAATCCTTCAAGACGACTAGTATCAATACTCTGGCAGGAGCGAATTCTGCTACCCTGCAGGCTCTTTGCATAAGTTCTCGAAGAAGGTGCCCTTATAAGGGCCCTATCAAGCCACAACTTTACGTCCCAAACGCCCGCCACGCCCGCCCGCCCACAAATGGACGACCGTTCCTGACGCTCGTATTCATTCATTTGCTAAGCAAATTATGAAGCGAAGGGATTGGTATGAAGCGGCCGTGATGCTGCATGGATATATGAGTCCCATATGCAGCCGTATCTTCGGTAGCGGTGATTGGTAAGATGCCTACGGGAAACTCGTCCGAAATCGATTTTCAAGTCACTGAGAACGGAGGCTTTTTCTTCGCAGGATTTTGACCGTTTCACTCCGTTCTTTCGCCATTTCCCCACTATACAGCGCCCTACTAGCATTTTAGGCTAAGTAGGAAACCATCGTGCCAACTGCCTTTAAAGTAAGCAGCTGTCAAATTTGAGCTACCTGGTTATGGGTATCGGTTGCATGCGCGCAAAACCCACGTTTCAGAAGGAGGTCAGATAGTGCGGAAATCCTGAACAATCTGGATAATGCTTTTGACTATGTCTTCGGTAACTCATGATCCGGATCTGCTTTTATTCAGGTTCATATATCAGTGAAAGTTATTGGACCAAATGGTAAGCAGTATGCGGCGACTACAGTAAGCACAGCAAAATGAAGGGTACGCAACAGCCCGTTTTTACCACACAAAGCACACGTAATGAGATCACAATCATTAAACATTATTGTCCGCTTTTTGTAAATCACATTATGTATTCCACTGAATAAAGTGCAGTGAAGTTTTTTAGTTTAGATAGAGGTTCGTAGAAGTTCAGAAGTTAAAGGCACGGTCCGCGATAGGGAGCACTGAAGTAGTATTGAAATATGAAAAAGAACACGCTAGGGAACACGTCTTCGAAGGAAAAAGGCAAAAGGGACCTCAAAATAGCCCTAATAAGAGCTTTCAGCAGTTGGATGAGTACATGGTGAAAAACACCGCGTTTTGGGACGGTCCATTCGGCCTTGTCCAAGGTGCCGGCCCTACTGCTGAGAGGGTTCCTGTTCAGAGTGTTCTCAAGGTTTTTTCGCTTCTTTCTCTGCTGGGGAGTTACATATGGGCTACAGCTTTATGATATGGGCTACAGCTTTATGTCTGAGCACTTATTACCCATAACACTTGATCGCGAGGAACTGTCTTCAAGTTGAATAGCTATGGGGCACTTCGGTAAAAGAATGGAGTAATCCCATTTCGGATGGGTCAAGAATATTATCTCTA